TCCCCTTGCCGTGGCAGGCCGGCTTCTCCCCACCCTTGGGCCTGGTCCTTCCCCGCACTGGGTTTGGGTCTGCTCCTCCCCTCCCCCTGCCGCTGTGGCGAGGAGGTGGGGAGTGGGTCTGGACCCCAAGCAGCAGGACGGAAGGAGAGAGGGGGTCCAGAAGGGGGGGGAAGGGGTGCAGCTCCACCCCTGCCTTCCCCCACCCCTGTCCATCGTTCTTGTTGGGCAATTGGCTAGTTCTAATATTATAAAAGCCTTAGGCTGTCTGTAATGCTTTATTTGCACTCTTATTGGTTGCCTTGGCAGCCAATCAGAGTGCTCTGGACAGACAGACACATGGTGGAGCACCACTGTGACAGCAGGGATTGAGGGGCCGGAGTGGAAGGTAAGGCCAGTGGCACTGGTCTCATCCCTCCCCCCACTGCCCTGCTCCTTGGAGCCAGGGGCCAGAGTGTCTCCCTGCCCCTCACAACAGCTGGTAGGGAAGGGGAGGTGGCGGGGAAGAGGAGGGGGGGGGGTGACTGATGGCTGCGCCCCACCATGACCACCACTGCGGCCATGACCACCACCATGATCGCTGGCCCCAGCCTGAAGATCATTCTTGACAGGCAATTTGCTAGTATAAGAATGATGATAGAAACACTGGTAGGCTTCCAAATTGCTTTAACATTGTAAATATATCAATAAAGCATTGCCCAACTGATGTCTCGCTGGCTGTCTGTCTGTCGATCTTTTGTTTTAATTATGGAAGAACATGGACTTTGGGGTATTTTAAAGAGTGAATTTGGGAATTTTTTTTATTAGAGATTTTGCAGTTTTTAAATAGGGAAAACCAAGAGGTTTTAGTGAGGCAAGTGGCAGGACCCAGGCAGATGAGACTGCTCAGGGCTGGCACTCGGGACTCAGCTGGAGGTGGCTGACCTCTTGGCCAGATGGCAGGGTGGTGGCACACATGGCAGTAGTGCCACACAAAGGCCAATTGTGCAGCCACAGCCCGCTGGCAGCCGGCCCAGAGGTGCAGATGCCTCTGCCATGGCTGTGCAGTCCCCATCCGGGTCTGGCAGGTGTGCAGCCTTGGGGCTACATGCTGTCACAGGTGGCAGCAGGTCACAGCCAGGCAGCAGCCCCCACTGCCAGACTGCTGCAGTAGGTAAAGAGTGCAGGGAACTCTTGGCTAGGGCGGCTTCAGCAGTCCAGCTGACACAAGGGACTAGTGTTCCCAGATACCATTTGGCCAGGCCCCAGAAGCTCCTCTCTATTTGTACACCCAATTAGGGTGGGTCTTCAGGCCCACCTGGCTAACTGGTAGCCTCTTGTGGCTACTTGCCAGGGCAGCTTTTTATACTGTTGCTGGCCCCAGGCTCTAGCTCCCCCTGACAGCAGATCTGGGAGGAGCTGGGCAGGGTTATTTTGCCCCAAAGGGCAAAACTTGCCCCTCACCAAAGTGTGTGTCTGGGCCCGTGCACTGAGGCAAACCCCCCCCCCCCAGCTCAAATTTGCATTGCTCCTATTTGAGCTGCTGCAAGCACACATGCTTGCATGTGTGGATGCGCCCTAGTTGGACAAAACAGGTAAAGAATCAGAAGGGAAACAGAGGCACAGAGGAGTTAAGAGATTTGTCCAAGGCCATACAATATCCACAACAGAGCCAGGACTGAAAAGTAGGTCTCCTAAGCCAGCACCAACTACTAGATCACTCTTCCTGTGCTGCAAGGGTGCAGGGTGAGATGCAGGGAGATGTTATATCCCCTTTGCACAATAAGCACACAATGTGCAAGGCAGTAGAGAATCAGACCACACAGCTCCAGAAGGCAGGCAGTGATGCTTTGCAGAGCTCTCAGCTTCTCCAGTCAGCCAAGTAACTACATTTAAGGTTTGGGAAGAGTGAGTCTGTTTAAATGTGTGTACTACTGCTTGGAATAGATTTGTTTGGAGACAAACATTTTTATTCCAGTCCTTATGTTTGTAGTAAACTAAAAAACTAGGTGGCACCAAGCCCTGTGAAGGTTTCCGTAAATTAACAGAGTTTCATGCTGAGGAACTATCAGTACTTCAGAGACAAGCCTGTTAAGGTATGGATTGAAGCCACTGGTACCGCCTAGCAGGAGGGGCAAGCCCATCAATCCAGCTGCAGTGCAGAGAATAAAAAGAGCCTGAAAAATTTCAGATGAAAAACATTCACTAAATGTGTAATTTATTGCCATCAGCTACAAGGAATTAGACTCCTGTGTTGCAGTCTATTGGCTCTCATTTGTTATGGAGGAATTTGGGGCTTTTTAAATAAAATTTGTTCCAGCAGCAGTGAAAGCAGGTTGACTTAATGGACCTATTGCTGAGCCCCACTTCTAGCTTGTAACAACTCTGTAAGGGACTGCAATAAACAAACCCAAGGTGCATGGCAAACACAAAGATTCTCTCTCTCAAGAGATGTCCTGTACATCTCAAGAAAAATTACACATAATGATTCCCACTTCAGTCTTCCCCATGTCCACCATACCAGGTTTGCTGAACTAATGCTAAAGTATGATGAGACACACATAGAAAGTCACAAATATCAAAAGTTATCATGTGTCTTCTAAGACTGCAATGAATAACACAGTAGAAAAATTATGGAAGGGAAACTGTGGGAGGCAAGGACAAAGCCTCTTTCTCTGCCATGGAGCCTCTGCTTTTATAGCTAAATGTAGTTTCAGGGTAATTCACAAGGCAGTCCAGCAAGTTCTTAAGTGTAGGTAAGCCCATTCCTTTTTAGGAAAGCACTTTGTCTTTTCCAGAATTCATGGAAATCAATGAAAGAGCTCCCATGGAGTTCAGTAGGCTTTGGATCAGATCTTTGTGCTAAACAATAAGCAGAAGAGCACTCAGACTACACACAGTGAATCTACTTGCACACTGAAAATTAAATATGTGCTTAAGCATTCTGCTGAGCTACGGTTTTTGGAAACCTTTTTAAAGCAATAAAACTGCAATATGTAATATGGAACACTGCTTCCTCAAGGGAGAATTTAGCTGAGGCTGAACCAATGGCTTATTAAATAACGTGTGTGTGTGTGTGTGTGTGTGTTGTTCAGTAACCTAAAACAACTAGAAAGCAAGGGAAAGAATATTTCTAGTTGATCTGTCAATGAATGTGGTCAGCCTTGACAGAAGAGGAAATTACCAGGGATGATGAAGTATCTTGAAGGACAGAAGAGGAAGAAGAATATCTTGGTTCAAGAATATATTTTTAGAGTCCGGAAAAGAGCAAGAAACATGCAGCATAAAATAAGCTATAATTTCAGTGTACTGCAAGGACATAGACCAATAATCTATGTGCTAATTGTATTTCAGTATATGCATATATACAAAAGGAGAGCATATGGTAAATCATTGTTGAACTATTTGGTACCAGTGCTGCCTTAAGCAAACTCTTTCATCCTAAGCTTTATGTTTTGGAGATTAATCATACAGGAGTACATTTTAAAAATAATTAAACCTTCTTCAGACTGTGTTCTGCAAGAGTTCTTGACATCTGAACAATAATTTGCATAACCAAGCATGAAAGAAACATGTTGCAAACACTGATTAGCGTTGCTGCTTCCATTTGGATGGAGCCTGTGTACATGGCACCCATTTTTCTCACATTAGCAACTGGAAAGGCTGCACTGTAAGAGGTATCCACCCACAGCTCCAAATTCTGAAATGATTTTTAAAATTGAGAGCCCAATTCTACAAGTATTGAAGTGAATTAGGAGGTCCAGGCAGAGCTGGCAGAATTAAGCATGGTATGTTTCATTATCATGGGTACTTTTGTGCCTTTTGCTGAAAACTGACTTTATTTGAAACAAGGGATCTGATTTTTAAAGGTATTTAGGTGTCTACAAATAGGTGCCAAGTGTGTTTACAAAATCACCTTAGCAGGTTAGCGAAATCAACTGGAGTTGAGCACCTAGTCAGGTTAGAGGGTCTTAATTTCAGTGTCTGCATTTGGGCATCTAAATACCTTTTGGAAATCTGACCTTGTGTGTTCCTATAAACAAGTTTTCATCATAACCCCATTAAAATGTGTGAAAACTAGTTTCCTAATTTTATGTCAATAATTTAAAAATAGAACTAACTTTGTGCTATTAACTCTTTTTAACCAAGGAACTACTTATCAATATCAGTTTTAACATGAGACTGCATTGCCAGATTTATCCTTGATCCACTTATTGTACTCGCCACTTCTTTTTTGTACTATATTTTGTATTGTTGATCCTAGCAATTCAAGTTTTAAATATGTTTTTTGCTAAAACTGCCTATAGAATGAAT